CGACGGGAATAGTGCTCCAGAACTGTAAGATTCTGCCGGACAAGACCTTGGAGCCGGTGAAGGCCCAGTTCAAGACGTACCTGGGGAGGCCGTGGAAGGAGTTCTCGCGGACCGTCGTGATGGAGTCCACAATCGAGGACATCATCCACCCCGACGGGTGGCTCCCGTGGCAAGGGGACTTCGCCCTCAAGACCTTGTACTATGCAGAGTTCAACAACCAAGGCCCCGGCGCCAAGACCGATGCTAGGGTCAAGTGGCCTGGCTACAAGGTCCTTGACAAGGAAGAGGCAGCCAAGTTTACAATAGGAACTTTTCTAGAGGCGGATTGGATCGACAGCAAGTCGGTTCCTGTTCATGTTGGCCTTTTTTGATATAACACAAATCCAGCTTTCATTTCAGCTCCCTCTTTTCTATTTCTATTTTTCTATTTCTCTATCTATTATTTAATTCCAATTCTAGTACTTCTATCCCATACACGTACGCTCCAACAAAACTAGACATTATTCGTCACTGAATAGTAAAAAACAAACAAAACAAAAACAAAAGGTTTTTCTTGCATGTATGTTTTCTTTTTTAATTTCTCTGTAGGTATATTATATTATGCATCGGATACTCTCTGGTCTCTACAATGCCCAAGGGGTCCACCCATTCATACTCAAACTTTCAAATTGTCTCAAAATTGTAATCTCTAAATTATATGATGATGCATGTTGTTGTTTAAATAATTTATATGTATGAGAATTAATGAGCTGTTCTATTATATTGTGAAAAATATACATGTGTGTATAATTAGATATTATATATGGTTTATAGTTATGGTAAAAGAAAAAAATATGTTGGATGGGAATTCTGGCCTGCGCGTGTCATGATCAAAGAGGAGAGTTGAATTGACACGTGCTCGAAATGTGGAAATTGAGACAAAAACGATTAGGTCGGCAGTTAGGGTATGACCTAAGAAGTTGAGCCGACCTTCATAATTTCCGTAACAATATCTCTTCCGAACCCTAAAACACGCCGCATTTTTAGGGTATGTCAGAGTTCCTGTCGAGCCCAGTTTCTATAAATAGAAACCCTTGGCTTAAATGCATGGTAGGCAATCCTAGATAGAATCGGCAAGTTAGTCGGACTGGAACTAACTTGCTTGTCGGAGTGCTAACTTTGTTTTGTAGGTCCCTTAAGTGTTCTGGGAAAGTGTTGGACAGTTTAAAGAAAATCATCCAATTCATTTCGACCTACACTTGATTCAAGCCTAGTGATTTCGAGCTCAAACATTTGGCACCATCTGTGGGGAAGATATTTGAAAGTCAGTCTAACTTCTGCTATCTGAGCTAATGGCCCAAACCCGCTCCCAGCAGTCACGCTTTCAGCTCTCGT